GGGGAAGTGGAGTACCAGGTGGGGATGATTTTCTCTGCTCTTCCACTACTTGGAGCTGAAGTTTGGCCGTCTCCTGTTGAGCAGCGAGCAGCTCCAGATGCCCCTTACGAGCTTTTTCTTCTAATTCAGCTGTTTTTTGCTTTTCCAGCAATCGAAGATCTGCTGGTTTCTGTTCATGCTCCAGTTGCAGTTTATTTGCTGCCTTTTTCATTCTAATGGCTTCTGCAGTTTCTGTAGCATCAGGTAAGGGCTGTGCTCCTGCCTCCTGATCACTGGCCATTAACAGATCTTTCAGTTCTTGATTTGTAGCTTTCTTTCTAAAGCTTATCCCCTTTTTTGAACACAAATCTTCCAGGGCTTTTTTGTCAAGGCCTCATATGCTCTTTGCTCATCCATTGCAACTGCTCTTTAACCCACCAAACTCTCAATACCAACATTCAAATTTGGATAGTGTGGGGTCAGGGCCGGCTCTAGGCACCAGCAAAACAAGCTGGTGCTTGGGGCGGCACATTTGTAGGGGTGGCATGGCCGGCGCCAGAATGCCGCCCCTAAAAATGTGCCCCGGCCGCCCTAGCTCACCTCCGCTGCTGCTGCCACGGCGCGCGAAACAGCTGATTCGCGCGCCGCTTCTCGCCCTCCCTCCCAGGCTCTCAAACCTGGGAGGCGGGGAGACTCCAAGTGGCCGCGGCGCGGCGCCGCTTCTCGCCCTCCCTCCTAGGCTTGAGAGCCTGGGGGGAGGAGGCAGGGCTGGGGATTTGGGGAAGGGGAGGAGTTGAGGTGGGGCCGGGGGTGGGGTAATTAAATAAGGGGGGGGAGGCCAAAATTGTTTTTGCTTTGGGCGGCAAAAATCCTAGAGCCGGCCCTGCGCGGGGTTCTGACCCAAAGCTTAATTGACCTGGTTCTGTGGATCCTGCTGACTACGCCACTGTGACGGTGCTGCCCGTGGGAGCCACTGAGGTCACTCAATCAGGGTGAACTGCAAACAGAACAGGGCAGACAAACCCCAAACGCTGGTGGTTATTCCAATACTTAGATTTACCAACCAGCCCCAAACAGCTTCTATAGAACCTCACTGGTTATTTAGAAGTTCAAACAACGCAGTTCCCTTAAAGTACCCGGCCTCAGGCCTCCATCCAGACACACACGTCAGATATGATGATGATTACTGAAAATCTTACTTCATCATATCAAATAAAAGGTTCTTCCAATCCCAAAGGATCAGCCACATACCCAGGTTTAATTATAACTTAGATCTTACCCAAAATACACGCTAATAGCCAATTCTTATTAACTAAGCTAAAATTTATTAAAAAAGAAAAGAGAGAGAGTGTTTGTTGGTTAAAAGATCAATATACATACAGACTTGAATTCAATTCTTGAGGTTCAGATACATAGCAGAGGTGATCTTGTAGTTGCCAGAAGTCCTTTTAGAAATAGTCCATAGGTTATAGTCCAATGTCCATATTCAGGGTGACTCCAGCCAATTACTGGGGATCTCAATCCTTGTGGCTTAAGGTTTCCCCCTCTTGAAACCCAAAGCAGATCTGAGATGCAGCACGATTGTGGCCCAGGGTTCTTATACATTTCCAGCAGCCTTTTGGCCTGAGAAAACAATAGGCTTAATTCTCCTTCTAAACATCCTGGCAATTAGCATAGGGTAATTTATCCATTAAACAGTTTAGATACAGGTTACCACAACCTTCAAAGAGACATAGAGACAATAATACTATTTCACTCAAGTATTATTATAAATGTTAATATTCCTTTTTGATCTTTTAATTAAAGTGATAGCAATAGACAAGACTGGTTTGCTTACATCACAAGCCCTGAGCAAACATCTACCCTTTTACCTCTAACAATGCAGACTTGCATTTCAAAGCTCTGTTCATTTACATATCTTCCTAACCTGTTTCTACAGTTCACCCATGGGTCAGGTCAGTTGGTGAGTTAATTAACTCTTCCTGGCCCAGTCATCTTCCAATGAAATATTATATTACACTCCTAATGTCACAGTCCCCAACAGATGAGACCTTCTGGGAACGCTCCCAGTGTGCTGACGTGAGTGACATGCAGGAAACGGGTTCTCATGATGCCTGGGAAATGCTGTGCTCTGAGCAGGAAGCATGCACAGTGAACTGGGGCCGGGCTCTGAGCTCGGGAAGGAGCGTGGGAGAACAGGCTCTGAGCTCACCCCTGCCCGTGGCTGCAGGGGGGAAGAGGTGCTGATCTCGCCCATACCCATGGCACACCATGGACAGGCACTGCCCTGGCAGAAGGGAGGGAAGGCAGAGGAGAGACGTGCTGGCCACACATCTCCCCGCCTGCAGTGGCCAGGCGCAGCTGATCACGGATGCAGCACTGGGGCGGGGTGGGAATGCTCCAGAGCATGGGGGCCTGCTGGGGGAAGCAGCGCTCGCTCCCAGGGCCCATGCTGTGTCTTTGGGGAGAGGGATCCTGGGACGGGGCTTTCCCCGCTGAGCCGACTTTCAGTGAGTGTCCCTCAAGGGGAACCACACAAGGGGCACCAGGGGCCCCAAGGGGAGAGTCCTGCCCCCAGACAGCCAGGGCCCATGGCCAGCCTCCATTTTGAGCCTTCATCCTGACCCCTATTTTGATGGCTACACTGCAGCTTGCCTGCCTGAATCTGGGAAATCCCTGGGACCGCTGGGCCCTGGCCCCCACTGAGGCTGGGCGAGGCAGGCCTGGAACACACCCGGGGAGCTGACGAGTCCTTTGCTGCATGCGGAGCTAAGACTAAAATCATATTGTGCCCTCCAGGTGGACACCACAGGCAAAAGACTACGACTCCCAGCATCCTCTGCTTTCCAGGTAAGGGGAGGAATGTGGGCTGGCTCCTGTCCAGCTGGATGGTTCTCTCTGTGCTTCGCCCCTTGCAGAGCGGCGGGCTCCCCACCCAGGGCTGCCCCTGAGGGACGCTGCAGCGGGCAGGTGAGTGAAGCTGAGAAGGGGGATTTGCAGCTGACATGGGCTCTGCAGAAACAGCTGGTCTGAGGCCAGGCTCCTTGAAATGCCTCCAGCCCGGGGCTGTAGCACCACACTGCCAGCGTGCCCCAGCTCCACCCCGAGCGCACGGGGCTGGGTGCCACGGGCAGCCAGGGCTCACTCAGCCCTGGGGTGACTCGGGAAGAAGCTATGGGGTGGGGTGGGAGGTGTGCATGGACTTTGGAACAGCAAAGAGAGCTGGGCTGAGCCCTGAGGGTGGAGTAGGGGCTGCCCTCCTCCCCCCCTTATTGGTGCACACAGACCCTGGCAGGCTTAGCTTCCCCCAGCCCAGCGTGTGCCCGCCCCACAGGCAGCAGGGGGATATGGGAGGGAAGGGAGCCAACGGGACACACCCAGGGACTCTGGTCAGTAAGACCAGCTGGTGGGACGGCAACACCTGCAGGGAGAGCTCCAGGGGCCGGAGTCTCCAGCCAGCGCTGCCTGGGACCCCCCAGACCAGAGCAGAGAGACAAAGCCAGGAGGTTCCTGAGGTTCCCTTTGGTGCAGTGTGCCTCTGTCCCTGCAGGCACTGCTCTTCGGGGGGGTGTCTGTGCTGGCTGTGGGGCCAAAGGCGGGGAGGGCCCCACGGGAGCCACCCTTGCCCGGAGCAGGACTGAGCCCTCCACAGGGTGCACACAGCAGGGAGAGCCAGGGTGAGTGTTGTGCCCAGGTGCCTGCACTGGTAGTGGTGGCTCATGAAGCGGGGACCGCAGGTAGGCGCAGCCTGCGTCTACTGGGACCATCCTGTCTTCTGCTCTCTGAGCAAGCCCCCGTGGGGCCGCTCTGCCTCAGTGTCCAGCTCCCTGGTGCCCCACCACGCCTGTTCCAGCAGTTATCTGGGGGCCCAGCGCTTTCCTAAGAGGGAGTGTCTGTCTCTGATAGGGGAAATGGAGCCAAGCCGCTGTCTGCTTGGACTTGCTGCAGGGAGTGGTTTGATTATGCAGGGCTGAGTAAAGTGAGACTCCTGCTCCTCCAGGACTGGAAGGAAGGGGCTGACTCCGCTCCAGTTAACTCCTTAGTGTGCGCTGTCCAGCGTTGGGTGCGGGAAGCAAGTGGCAGGGGAGAGAGGGGGCTGAGGAGGAGGGAGCATGCAGAGGACCAGCCCTGCTCCCCTGAGGGCAGCTCTAAAGCCAGTCCAGTGGGTCCTGCGGAGGGTGGAGCATGTGGCATTTCCCAAGGCCTGTGCTGCCCAGGCCCGGGCTCCGGCCTGCAAAGGTGTCCAGGGAGAACCTCCTTGTGCAACGCAGAACTGTGCTGAGCTGTGTGCTGGTTGAATCATCTCTGCGTAGGGCGGGGGAGGTGGCCTGGCACGTCGTGGGGATGACAGTTCTCAGTGTGCTGGGTGCAGGGGCGGATTAGGGCTTTGTGGGGCCCTGGGACAGAGAAAGTGAGGGCCCCTCCCCAACCCCTTCCGCCTGCAGTCCCCTTGCTCCCCCTGTGCTCCTGCTAGGAAATGGGGTTGGGGCATGGGGGCTTGCCTCGCCCCCATGCCTGGCACTCCTGCGGGGGAGTGGGGTGAGGGTGCGGGGGCTTACCCTGCTCTGCCCGCCCGGCGCTCCTTCCGCGGAGCGGGATAAGCCCACGTGCCTTGACCCCACTCCCCGGCAGGAACGCTGGGCAGAGTGGGGCACGGGGGGCCCATTTTTTGTGGGGCCACCCAATTGGCCAGGGCCCCTGGGCACAGGTCCCGTTGGCCCAGTGGCTAATCCACCACTGGCTGGGTGCTGGAATTATCAATATGGGAAACCACGAAACACAAGCTGAACCATAAATTCCTTTATTAAATCCAAGGGCCACTTGGTATTTATACAATTGCTCTGAACATGTCTGAAAAGCCAAACTCAGTAAGCAATGTC